TTCATGCGATCTAGAAGTCCTCAAACCACAAATAGGGTTTTAGTAAAACTGCCTGTGGATAGTACCCTCCTCTGTAATATTTTGTTTTATCACTGAATTTTAGTTCATTGAATGAAATGTATTTTAACTTTTTTCATGTTCTTCTGCTTCTTGCATGTATTTTGAGATAAAAAAATTAAAAAAAAATTTTTTTTAAGTTGTTGGGTGCCCTTGAGGCTCCTTCAGCTCAGAGTTGAACTGCCCCATCGGATTTTCTAGGCTGTACTTTTCATAGGGGCCGACCCCTTTCAGCTAGCAGCTGAGGACATCACTGTGGGCCACAGACTTCCTTATTTAAAAAAAACAACAACCGGGGCCACACAATAACGCTTCCGTAGTTTTGAAGTGGTCATTGAGCCTAATGACAACTGGCAGCCTTGCTGACGCTGTGCAGGTTTAGAAACTCTGCCCTAGTTGTCTTCAGTAGTGGCTGCTGAGGGGTCTGTTCAACTATCCTTTCTTTATCTCTGGCTTTGGGGGCCCTGCTCTCGCCACCCTCTTTTTAGCTGTACCCCGCCCTGGAGGGTGGGGCCTTTCTCATCCTGGGTTGAGCAGCTGAAGCCCCAGACCTGCTTCCTGCCCCCAGCAGCAACGTTGTCAGCAGCCAACTGCAGCCACCTTCCTCTCCCTCCACCAGACACTTGCCCCACTGCCTCACTTAACCCTTAGCACAGGGAGCTACAAAATAAGACCTGCGGTCTTTTTAATAAGTAGGACTAATTCAAATGATCAGAATGGGCCTACCTAAGAGCTTACGATTCTTTTCTTTCCCCCACAATTCTTATTTCATGCTCATTGTCATAGTTAAATTAGCCAACCCGTACGGAAGTAGCCCCATCTCTGGAGATCCGTAGAACAGGTATTTTGCTTGTATTTATAGCTGACTTTTAAAATGCTCTTTATTTTGGGAGAAGGGCAGGGGAAGGAAGGCTCGGGAAATCAATATAAGCTTCAGGAATGGCGCTTCTGCGCCTGCCGTCACCCAGCTGTGCCACTGCCATTCTGAATAATGAGCTGAAGCTACCTGTGGCTTGTTTCAGGGGGTTGTTCTTGCCAAATTAGAAATCGGTAATATCTGGTGACTTTGATTTCACATCAGAAAAATTAGAAAAACTGTATAGAGAGGAGCTGAGATCAAAGAGTTCAAGAAAGTGTTTTGAAACCAATGGTGGCAGCAATTGTACAATTATGCTTGATCTAATGGAATTATGGATTGTTATATGTGTAAGATCTCCCAATAAAATGATTACAAAAAGAAAGAAGGAAAACCCAAACCAGACTCGGTGCCGTCATCTAGTCAGTGCCCAACTCACAGGGACCCCGAGCACAGGGTAGAACTGCCCTGGGAGTTTCCGAGGCTGTAATTCTTTACGGCAGTAAAGCGCCTCATCTTTCTCCCATCCCATACTGCCAGCGCCCCCTTCACTCTGCTTTAAGGCCCTTTTCCTCATACCCTGGAGGCAATGCAAGGTGCTCACTTTGATCATCCAAAAATAAAACCATTTTGAGAGCAAAAGACCTAATGGTTATTAGTGTGAAAATTTTCTAAATGCAGAGCTTTATTTCCTGTGCTATAGAAATGCCCAAAGCATGTCAGACATGTAAGGCAGTTTTCATAGAGACTCTTCTGTAGGCACAAGAGGGGACACTTCTAAATGTTTACTGTTGTGCACATGATAAAAGTCACAATAAGGAAAGTGGGCCAGAATTTATTTCAGGAGGCAAGTGCGACAAAGATGAAGTTTTATGAGCCATCCACAGTTATGTTGAGTAGCTGTCGTCTTGCTTCTAGCTCTAGACGATGTGATTTCTTCTGGGACGCAGGTGTTGTAGAGAGTGAGGAAACTTCTCAGTTCATTCAAACTTGAGTAAATCAAGGTGCTTCTTGTTGCCGCCTGGTGGCCGGCCCCTCGCTCCTAGCGCACCCTCATCGGGTTGGATTCACACAGCAGCTAGCCCGGTCTTCCCTCCCCAGGAGCTGCTGGAAGCTTAGAACCCCAGACCTTGTGGTTGGCACTGAGCCTTTGACTGCTTACCATGTTCCAAACATCCTTGGATGCTCAAAGGCTCTGGCCTTTCAGATGGTATCATCAATGAACTGCCATCCAGTGGCTGAGCACCAGCTAGTTGGCAGAGCATCTTACGTGAAGACCAGGTCTTTCCTCTTCCAGGTGTTTAACCAGTTGAGTGGGCCACAAACTAAGGGAGGTAGAGGCCAGTTTGTTGTTTTCTTGTTTTCAATTCCCAATCCATCATAGAACACTACTTGTGTGAAGTACAATAAAAATGAATTACTTGAACAACAAAAGTTAAAAAACATACGAACTAAGTCTCAATTTTTAAAGTATTACATTCCACCACTTAGACATGTGGTCTGTCAAATTGCCATAAAAGTATCCAGACTCTTGCGCTGGCAGCTCGGGAATACTCGCCTTTTCCTGAATCAGACCAGCGCTGATCCGGGTCACACGGGTCTTTTTGCAAGGGGACAGTAGTCATTGCTTTCCCCTTACACTGAGGCAGAGCTGGTGCTGGGAACCCACGAGGCTTTTCTGCCCTCACGTCGGTTCGCTCATTCTCTTCCCCCAGCCTGGAATGCCCTTCCTTCCCCACCTCCGGCTACTGAAAGCCCACTCACCCTTCGAGATGCGTCGAGTGCCATCTTTGTCATCGAGTCTTTCATGGCCCCCACTCCCACCCCCAACAGCTGGCCAAGTTTCTCCTTCCCTCCTCTGCTGTCGTCATTACAAGGAGGCAGCAGCACAGTAACTGGGTAAAGAGCCCTGGAATCAGAGCCACTGAGTCTCGGGCCCCAGCTGGGTGCCCTTGCAGAGATTCTCGGCGTGTTTCTCATCTGTCAAGTGGGTGGGTTAGGCTGCCTGTGCCACTGGAGATCGCTTGACGTTGTAAAGAAGATAGGCATGAGGCAGTCGGTTTTCATCAGGAATAACTCAGCGGCACATCCGTAGTCAGCACTCGATCAATCCCACTGCCTTCGTGACTGGTACCTTTTCTTTACCCTTCCCCCCTCTAGATTGAGGGCAGGAGTGCTGTCTGTCATAGGAACTAACACAGTGCCTTGCTCAATAAGTATTAAATGGGGTTAAATTTAAGCGCAGTGCCATTTAAATGACGCCAACCAGCAGAGAACTAAATCCAGAGAGGAAGACTGCATCAGTGGTTAGGAAAGTGAGGGTGGATTCGTGGGAACAAGGCTGTAAGCTGACCCACCTTGGTGATGGTCCTCGACTTGTGCCAACAGCCTGATCGGCCTGTGGAGACAGACTGCACAGCAGCTTTAGGGGTAACGCAGAAAAGGTGGCCTGAGGTCAGATTACGCAGGGCCTTATATACTTTGTCCCGTGAGTATGTGAGAGACCTGGACCCAGCCCACCCGAGGCGGACACTGGGGAAGAGGTGATATTCCTGCTACTAAAACCAGCTTTGAATACTACTGCCCCTCTGGTGCAGAAAAATGTTTCTGACATCTCCTGCCCCTTGGCCCCCTGACTTCATGGACCAGGCGTCCTGACTTAATGACCATCCTTTCCTCAGAGAGTCCTCTTGTGCTTCATGGGACTGGGGTTTCTCAGGCTTCATTAGCCACAGAGCCTTTCTTTCATGCCGGTGAGCACCTCCCGAAACAGTGTGAGCAAGGGCACCCTAACCCCAGGGTGCTGGAGCAGATGCACAGTGAGGGCCTGCGGCTTCTCGGTGCTCAGCACGTCCTGAGCCAGGCTTGCCACCGGGCAGTTCTGCTGCCTGCTGCCCAGGCTTGAGCAGGCCCACACCCGCTGTGGAGGGTCAACATGCCAGGGTATTAACGAACACCCCACCCCGTCTGTCTCTGCTGTCCTTGTGAGCATCTCCACAATGCCCTCTGTCGCCATGCCTACATGCCGCATGCGGTGATTCCCAACCTTTGTGGGACTGCAGCCCACGGACAGGCTGATTGTTAGTGTCCTCCTTCCTCTGTGCCTGTGAAATCATTGTTACAAAGTACGGCACATACATAAAGGAAAGAACCAAAATAAGAGTTTGTTGAAAATAACAACTCTTGAGAAATTTAGCAACCCCTTGAGTGGCCAAACCAGGGTTGGGATTCATTGAGCTCTGTGGTCATCACCACCACCTCCCACCTTCACCTCCCATTTCAATACGAGCCACATTACGAATAGTATGGAATGAAATTACCCTACTGAGTCATGTACACATAAATTGATTTCAAATGTATGTATTTTCGGAAAGTAATTCCATTTTAAATGCAACCGTATCCAATAGAGTTTAACTCTGTACCATCCAGTACTTTGTTAAAAGGAAGATGAACCGATGGTGGCCGTGGCTGGCACAAACGGTTGTGTCGTCACTTAAAGTAAATCCTCCCTTGCTGAGAGAGTCACGGGGGCACACCAGAGTGCGTAGAGCCTGTGCTCCTGTCGGCACTGCAAGGGTACTTCTTAGCTTTGAAGATCGGGATTAGCTCCTTCCTGGTTATTTCCAAATCTCAATCGGTTTCCAATCCGCTCTTCTCAATCGCTAGACTGTTTACATTAAAATTTGAATGATCAATTTCACCAAAACAAAAACTCCAGGAAAAAATTTAGCTCATTAAAGAGTGGTTGATGCAAATCATTTCTGACCATAGTAAATTTATTAAAAATACAAAGTCTCAGGTTTTGCAGGTTTAAATACTATCCAGCTACTTATTTTTATTTAATGATTTTATTCAACCTCTGATTTAGGACACAGTACATTTGTAATTATACAAAACATTTTTGTATGATTGCTCTATTAAAGCCTTCGATTAAGTTCCATACTATAGAAAAACATTACATGTCTCTATATATTTATTACTTTGGGTTCCAAAGTGGTGGTTGCCTTTTTTTTTTCTGGTGTGCAGGGGGGCAGGGGAGTCCAAATCTATTGATGAGTGCTAATTGTTGCCATTTCTCCTCCCCCAGCTTACTGAAGCAAATTCAAGTGTCAAGTGCTTGGACTCCATGTGCTGTTTCTCAGAAGGAGAGACAGCGTGCGCATCTGTTGGAAGAATGCTGGACCGAGTGATAGGAAGCTGTAGTCCAGCCCACATCAGCAGGTGTGAAATCTCTCTAAGTAGCCTTTGCTGCAGATGAGTATGCGTCACCTGGAACAGGACGAACCTGCAACTCCAGATTTCTAACAAGCCAGCAGCTGCTTGTCCCAACTGGAGCAGGCTCCTACTTAGCACTCGGTGATGGTAGATTTCACTTGGTGGCTTTGGGTGGGGGGCTCCTTCGCTCTAAAAGGAAGAGAATGCACCTTTGAAGAGACTTTCCATCTAATGAACAGAAAGAGTTTTTGTTTTACAGTCTTTCTACATGTCTACCACGTGATGAGTAGGAACACGTGTTTGGCACACCCTCGCGTTTTGTAGAACTCATTTACTGTGCTACTGTTTCCTTGCTTGCAAGGTTCTTTTGATTTTGCTTTTACTGTTTGATTTTTGTCCTTACAAAGTAATCGACTCATGCTAATGAAGTCAGAACGCTTTACTTTTCTCCTTCTGCATCTGTGTCTCCTAGTCACTGGCTGAGGCTGCCCTGCTCACCGTCTCTCCACAACGGGGTCTCTGAGATGAGTAGTGACCGTTGTGTTTCCTCTGCTTGGTAATTAGTCTACTTAAAAGTTTATAATGTCTAACAGGCGCTTGTGGCTTAAAAGAACCGTCGTGTTTTTACTTCCTCCTAAACCTGTTTCTTGAATTAGATTTATCAGTGTTTGTTTTGGGGGTTCATAGAAAAATTACCATTTAAAAGTAGACTGATTTAAAATGTATTTAAAACTTAAAAATGGATTCATTTGCTCAGACGTGTCCCCAGAGAGGATAACTTTTTCTACACCTTGGTGTTCTCTATGTAGACTCTGTTCCCAAGATCCAGGCAGCAGCTCGCTGGGTGTGTGGCCAGATTACCGAGGGGCAGGGGGTGGGTTCCCATTGTCCCCAGTGTGCCAGGCGAGCACTCTTCTCCCACGTGAAAATGGCTGGGAGGTGCTCCAGGTGCGGGGAATGAAAGAATGGAAGAGGCACTAATCTTATCTATTGATAAAGGAATTGTTAATGTTTGGATAGTTTGGTATTTTTTTAAATGATGACAATGATTATCATTCATGTATCATAAAATCCAGATAACTTTTACTGGTCGACTTGTCAGTTCACCCTAAAACCTCTCCTCTGGCCATGTCTGTGTGGGACAGGTGCGTTGTAAGTAGCATTTCTATGTTCACATGATGTCTTTGGTTCTACTCCCCGTTTGTTTTGATTTGATTATAACATAACATGCGATCAAACTCTATCCGTAATTCTGCAATATAACTGTAAGGATGTCATTCTACACGTTAGACTGGCCATGAGCAGTTAAGTTTATTGGCGCCTTGTTGTGACGTATTTGGTGCTGCCTTACACGAAGGCAGCTGTGCCTTTTTCACAGGCCCACGAGTTTCCCAAAGGAAGTCCCTGAGGGATCTAACTTTGAAGATTGAGTAACTGCTGCTGTGGCCTGGAAGCACAGCATGGAAGCGGGAGTTAGACTAGGACATGATTCTGGAACTTGTACAGCATTTTACATCTCTCTGCTGCAACAGAAAGTTGTCTTTCATGACACTGTACATGTTGAAAAAGAAAGCCAGAATTCCGAATGAGCCAGCATTTCTGCTGTGTCCATATCTTCATTTTCTTGTTGTCAGTGGTTCCGGTAAGATGCCGGTGATGTTCTTTACACAGCCCTCTCTGTGCTGCATTATCCGCCGGAACCTGGACATGTTCTCTTGAAGGTGGCTGCTGTCTGTACTTCCTTTCACTTAAAATTCGACCCATGTCCTTTTGGGGGGGGGGGCTTAATTTTTTTTCCTTGATAAATGGTTTAACAGTTATTAATAATCATATTTGACAGGTTATAAATACCTTTCCAATTATGCCCAACAGCTCAGGCTTTTTTCCCCCTCTGTTGAATACCCTAAAAATTCTTTTTGAGATCTGTTGACAGTTTTTCAAGTGAATAAAATTAGAACAATATGCAAAACTACGTGGTGCTTTCCAAAGGGCTATTCAAATATTGCCATAGATCCATTGACATTGTTTTTAAACTTAGAACGGTCACATCAATAGAGTTTTGGTTTAGTCTTTTCCATATAATTGTTTCCGTAAAATACATTTGGCATCCTTCATGCAACACTTCTCTATTAGGGCTCATGTACAGGAGAGGGGAAAGCTGTGTAGGAGCCCCTGGATATTTGTGGCATTAGCATGTCACCACAGCCATTTAAGAACGGCAACTAGTGCTTTCCTATCACAGATCTATCAATGAAACATTCACCGTCCGGCCATGAGAAGTGCCCTTCCGTGTGGTTACTTGATTCTGTAAGAGGAATATGTCCGATTGCAAAGGCAGCAGCGTGGTGCTCTACACCCAACCCCAACACGCTGTGCATCCGTGATCAGTGCACAGTGACTATCCTCATCAGACTCTCTTGGGTGAAAATAGATGAGATGTTATTATTTGGTCAGGTGTTTCATGTTCTGTCAAATGTGCTATTTAACATGAATGCACATGTATGCTTTGTAAAGATGAAAAATGAAGGCAAATTTTACCTAACGAGAGTCTTTTATGTCAACAGCAGTTGAAAAAGGAGGAAAACGAATATAAAGTATTTGTGGTTTGGGAGTGTGGACCCTTGATTCTCGATAGGCGAGGCAGTGATACATACTACATTTGTTGTGTGTCTGCGTGTACTTTGTCCGCCATAGGTACTTTCTCTGTGAGACTTGCATGTTCTCCTTTCTCCATTCGTTTTAGGGATGTACCAGGCACAGGTCTAGGTGCTAAAGAGACAGTGGGAGCCAGAGAGAATGCCCAAGAGAACCAGACCCACTGTTGTGATTGCTGCATGTCTGTCATGCTGTGTGCCAACTTTGTAAACTCTAGAGTCCAGACTTCATTATGGTCACTTACACTTGAACTACAAATGTGCATGCTGCCAGTCTCTAGGAGACCACAGGCCTTTGTCAACAAAGGTGAATGGGACTGTGTAAGCACAGTCTCTTCCGCTAACATCTTTGTTTAGGGAAAGATAGATGCCTAACAAAGGTTACACAAAACATATTTTTTAAGGGCTTTTAGTCCCAAAAGAAAAGCCACCTTTGCCTGGGTGGCCTTAATTGTCCTTGAGCGAGGCTAGTCTACCTGAGTGTGGCAGTCTAATTTTTTAGCTTGGGTTCAAACAGCCAGAGTTTTATGTAATGACTGCTCATGGGCCCTGTCACAGCAGATGGCTTTTCCAGGCCAGTAGAGGCTCATGTGTTGAAAAGCCCAGTGACCTAGGTGGGGGGTCTTTTGGTACCTATTGAATAAACCATTTACTGCATTCAAGCAAACTGTGCCAACCTTTCTAGACTAGAAGAGAGTGAGCCAACAATATGAGCACGCTACGCTACTGCTTTAATTCCCGAGCGTTTGGCAAGTGAGATGATTTTGTTTCTGTAACATCAAAATACAGCCTAGTTGCTTGTCCTTGAAACTGAATGTACATAATTCTGCATTGCATCCTTTTTCTTAACTGAAGTGTTAAAATTTAGAGTCTCCTGCTTTACTTCCTATAGAAGTTGTTTCAATGCTGATGAATGTCTAAATTCTGGCTTATATTTTTATACAATGACTAGAGCATTATTTTTCCCAAGTTTTTGTATACTACAAATAGAATGGGCATTCAATGCGAGCGTGAAGAACTTCGCTGTAGCCTTTAAAAGGAATCACTCCGTGATTATTTAACACTCAAATGACATTTTGGTCCTAAGTTTTAGAGTGATTTTTTTTCTCAATCAAAACCTAGGTACTGGTGAGCCAAACTTTTCTCTTATTGTTGCTTTAGATCATGGAGTGCTTCGGATCCTTTCTGTACCAGCGACAGGAGCATCTTGACTCTCTCCACAATGGACTCGTCTACTTGTTAACGGGCAGTAGCTCTTGGTGGGAGCCAGTTCAACTCCTTTCCTAAAACGCAGTGTGAGTGCCCTCCAGTGGCCACACTCGCGCTGTAAAAGTTCCTCCTGGCGTCTCTTGAGTAGTCCAGGCCCACTCAGAGTGGCAGTGACAGACACACAGAAAGCGTTCACTTGAATCCGCACACGTGGACACTGGCCCCGGCGGAGGCCTGTCCCCTTCCGTCCCCGGTTGCGTCATCCCCTGGTCTCGGGACTCCTCAGGGCATCTCTGCCTGTTGCTGAGGCCACTGTGTTTTGATATCAAAGAAGCAAAAGGGAGATAATGAACTCCTCGCTGCGTGTATTTTTTAGCATTAGTTTGTTTATTGACTCTTCTATTTAAATCTGCTTCTGTAAATTATGCTGAAAAGTTTGCCTTGAAAACTATTTTTCTATTAGAGTTCTATTTGAAGCTTTCCATTGGGATAGCTTATGTGAACAGTGAGGAATCACGGTTCCTCCCTGACCATGCTGGTACCTCACGGAGGTGGACGCAGCATGTGCAGGAAATGCACGCCCGCTGGAAAGCCCTGGAGCCCGGCCAGTGAAGTTCGCCATAGAGCGGTCAACCCTGCCCACCGTCTTAGGGATCAATCAGGAATCATGTCCATTCACCAAGTTTCAAATTGATGTTTCCTAATCATATTTTTGTAGCAGGCTGTGAAGAACCTATAGTGGGTAAATTAGGTGCCATTAGCATAATATTAATTTAATGTGTTCATTATTGGATTTTTTGCATGCATTCATCTGGTTCACATATTTAAGTTTGCTTTTTTTTCCCTCTCCCCCTCTCTCTATCCATCCTGAAGGCTCTGTTTGTGATACTTTATAACAATGTTGTAAAGTTCAGATTTATCAATAAACAAGTTTGGGCAGTATTTAAATATTGAAAACACTCTTAATTTATATAAATACAGCTGGGTGGTTAAATTGATATGAAAAGAGCCTCTTTCTATGGCCAGTTTAGAATTCCTCCCGCCTTTCCAAGAGCTAGGCTCGAGAATGCAGGATTTCAAGTGGAAAATCTTACTCTTTGAAACTTATATGTTATCTGAACTATAGCAGGCTCCCACAGGAAAGCAAAATCTACCCAGTGCCCCATTTTAAGGTATGTTTTCAGGCATGATTGTAAAATATAAATGACAAAATCTACAATGCTCAATTTGTGTGGGTGAGCACCAATACATTAAAATGCTAAAAATGTTTCATCAGGACCATGTGACTGTATTTAATTCATTGCACTTCTAAGACTTAATTTGTATCCCAAACTTATGTAAATTCAGCATTGTCATTTGTTTTGATAAAAAGTAAAGTTGATTTAAAATTTGGAAATGAGTGTTGGTTTTAAAAACTAGTGCCCGGCTTTTAGTATACAGTGATTGCATTTAAAATTGTATGAAAATGGTAAGCTGGGGTTTTGCCAAAATTCTCACCTGAAAATACATTCGTTTCTGTTGGGAGCCGGGTGTGTGTGACTGCACTACCGTCTTCCTGCATCCTGGACAGGAGCGTGCTGGTGCGGGCCGGCAGGGCACAGCGGCTGCTCTTGCTAGCGAAGGACTGGTAGAATTCAGATGTTGCCTCTGTTCCCTAGAAAACCAATTGCTTGCTGAAGCGGACAGCATTTCTGCCCATTTCAGTGATGCAAGGGTATCACCTTATACATTACAGCCAGAATATTCATTTTCAGCAATAGCCATTTTCAACGGCGGTTTCCCAGTGTTGGGTGTAGGAAGACACTGCCTTTCTGGAAATCAATTAAAGGGATGATGGATTGTCCTCGGTGTGTGTGTCCATTCCCTGACGCATGTCCCAGAGAGGAAGTGCTGCAGGGATGTTTCGTGAGAGTCCCTTGGTGGAGGGCAGTCTGGACTCTGCCTTCTCACAGCATGTCTTACGTCAGTAGGTGTACAGAGGACGAAATGACAGTCACGAGGGCTGCAGTGCACCCACCTTGTGGTGCGTCTGCCAGCCAGCCTGTCAACTGCTGGCACCAGGCAGTCTGGCCCCTGCAGCCCACAGAAGAACTTTCTAGCAAGGAAATGTAAAGGACTTCCAACATGCTGACCCTACTCTGTTTGTCCTTGTCCCTATATTTACAATAAAAGGGTCTGCCACCGCCCTTTCAGAGCATAAGTAATGCAGCCTGTGGGATTTACACGGTTTTTTAGTGCTAACATTCAGGCTATGAAACTAAGACTGCATAACCAGGAACCACAGAAAAGGCTCCCCTGTGCATATTACTATACAATTCTTTGGAAAGGATGATGTCGAAAATTCACTTACTCTTATCTGCCAAGACCAAAGACAGTTGCTAAATGTGGTACCGCTAGTTAATGAATGATCTCAAGGTGGTTTTTCACTGCCTCCTCAGCCCGGTGTGAAGGCCGTGGGCTCACAGATAGCGGCCAGCACAGAGTCAGTCTCCAGCCCGGCCTCCTGTGCTGCTGCCGGTCAGTGACGCAGCGAGGCTCGCCCAGGAGCAGTCTCTGGCCTGGGAGAGCCTCACCGACCCAGGCTGGCTTTGGGAGTGAGATGGAAAAGGGGGAGAATTTACAGACTGGATTTCTCTAAGTGCCCTCCTCCTCAAGTTCTACGGTAGACAGAGGTTTCCAGACCTGACACAGGCCCTGGCAGATCTCCCCGTGAGAAAACACCTGCCCTCATCCAGGGCCGGGCCCTTTCTGCTGCGTGAGATTGTGCAATTGGACTTGCCTGATAAGCTGAGACATTACTGAGAGGCAGGAGTCGGGCCGCTGACCGACTTGTAGGTCCTAGAGGAGCACTTTTGAACAGAGCCAGGTGGTGCAGCGGGTTACGTGTTGGGCTCCTGCTACCCCCAAGGCGAACCGTTACATCTTACCAGCCACTCCACAGATGCGCGATGAGGCAGGGTGCTCCCATAAGGATTTACCGTCTGGGAAACCCACGGGGCAGGTCTACCCCGGCCTACAGAGGCACTGCGAGTTGGCATCACCGGGGTGACAGTAGGTGTTTTGAGACTCCGACAAGCTCTTGGCCACTTCTGCTTGTGTTTGTCCTGTAGAGATCAATTGGGAGTGTGACATAAGCAGGTGTTTGTTAATCAGATCAGCGCCCCAAGCCGAAAGCACATTTTATTCATTTGGGCCCCTTCATAAACATTTTGATTTCTGTCTTGAGTTGAGTCCTTTATTTTCACCAGAAGAAAGCACTCTTACAGGGTTGTTTTGTGTGAGATAACCTGAACGACATGCTGACGCACACCCAGAAATCTCATCGTTGACTATAATGTTTGTAACAATGGTGATGGTTAGATTTGTATGAGGAATTAGTAGCTGGAACTATTGTAGCAATACTTAAACATGTTGGACCGCAAACACTGTGGCTGTCTCATGTAACCCTTTAACATTCTCTGCATTGCCAGGAAATGTAGTACGCTGACATTAGCGGTCTCAGTGATTTTTTCAAAGTTTATGGAATTGTATTTGTCAAATAAACACTTTCCTGTAAATTAAGCGTTTTCCTATCATTTCCCGCCTCCCTGCTCTTCACAACGAGCCCTGCCAAAGTAGCTTCACGGTCCCTGTACTCGAGAAAGCCTGCCTTACAGCGCAGCGACGTCATCGTGCCTCTCACTCACTGGTGACCGTTTGTCACAGATGGTCAGCTCTCTCGCAGCCCCCGCCCGGGAAAGGGGCAGAGAGAAAGGCACCCGACTTGCAAAGGCCTGCCTGCACTTCAAATGGCGCCCGTTCACAGGACCACATAGGAGTCTGCACATGCCTGCACCCCTACAGGACGTCCTCTTAATGGCACTGAGCCACTTCTCCAAAGGGTCCTCAGTTCAGGTGCCAATAAACATAACTGTTTCATCTCTATTTTCGTGAATAAACCATTTGACCCAGCCACTGCAGCGTAGTGACGAGTGTGGTGCAGGGCGGCGTTTCACGGGGTCGCTGTGAGTCGGAGCTAACAGGACGGCACCTGACAACGTGTTTTAAAAAGAGAAAAGGGGGAGCTATTGTCTCTGCCAAAGGGTGAGTGTTTGAAAGGATGGCAGTTCATGGCGTGTGTAGGATACTGTTTGTGAGATGAAGTAGAGCTACGGTTCGGGAGGAAGGGGGATCATCCTTTCTCCTGGTGTCTGTCTGCGGTGTATTAAAAAAGGACTTGGGCTCAGGGGCCGCTCTTTGGGGTAACTCTGCCCATAGCTTTTAATGTACAAAGAATGGAGCTTAATTAATCTTTCTTTTTTTAATCTTATTAATCAATTTAAGGGGGGAAATTATGAAAAGCATTTCATCAGAAAATGTTGTGAATTCAAAAAGAATTCCTGTTTTACTTCTGAAGTGCTGATTCCAGGGGCAGAGCTATTGTGGAGAGATAAATGGCTCTGGAAAATCCCCAAAGAGATCACTGAGAAAGAAGGGTTTTTTCCTACTAATTTGTCAAGGTGAAATGTTTGTACTAAGGTATAATTAATTTACAGTCCATGAAGTGCGAGGTTTTTGACTTAGAGTTCCATAGTGCCTGACCAGATCTCTGCCCTCTCCTCCATCCATCCAAAGAGCCTTTCCATCATACCAGAAAGGTCCTCTGTGCCGTGTGCAGTGATTCACTGCCCCACGTGCGCCAAGCAGCCGCTTTCCTCCTGCGGTCCCAGCCAAGCTTTGCCTGGCTGGAGTTGCATAGGAATAGAATTGCACCAAATACGCTTGTGCACCTGGCCGTGTGGCTCAGAGTGATGTTTATGTTCATCCATGCGTTTGCATGCATCCATAATATTGTATGAAAATGTCCGTTTGTTGACCTTTCTCCTGTTTATGGACTTTGGGAGTATTTACAGTTTGGGACTATTCATAATAACTATGAACATTCACTGTGGGCATTAAGTTTCCATTTCTCTTATGAAATAGCATTAGAAAACCTGGGTCTTAAGGCCTGTTTGTGTTTCATTTTATCAGAAACTGCCCCGAGTTTTGCCCAAGGTTTTAGGGAAGTGCTTTTACTCTCATACTAGTCCTAATGTCCGCTGGTCCATCATTTGGTCGTGCTGTGGCTTGCGTTGCTTGATGCTGGAAGAAGCAGTGCCACCAGTGTTTCAGAGACCAGCAGGGTCACCCCCTGGAGAACAGGTGTCAATCTGCAGAGCTTCCGGAGGAAGAAGAGCCTAGAAAGAAGGAACAGTTTGTCCGCTTCTGAGAGACGGGCCATTGCCAGCCTTGTGAAGAGCAGCCGATAGCGTCCCAGAAGAGAGGCTGTGCTGGTTAGACTGCGCAAGACTGAAACTGGGGAGAGATGAAGGAGCTCACCACCATCCGTCAGCACCAGGTCAGTGGCTGACTGAAATGGATCGTCACGTGCTCATATGCAAGTTCAGGTTCACGCTGAAGAATATTCAAACAAGTGCAGGAGAGTCCAAATACACCCTTGAGTCTATCCCACCTGAGTTTAGAGGTCCGTCTCCAGAACGAATGTCATGGACGGAAGAGTAATGAAGGATCAAAGACCAGGTGAGGTTTAGGTAGGGTGGCATCCAGAACAGCATACAGGAAGAGGCAAAAGGTCATTTAAAAATAGGAAAGAAACCAACCAAGTGGCTGTCAGAAGAGACTTTGAAATGCTCTCTTGAACAGAGAGCAACGAAAGCAAATGAAATGACCAAGTTAGAAGGCTGGGAGCGATCGTTTCTGGAGGAGCTCGTGGACCTTTCAAGGCACTAGAGGCAGAAAACCACGAGGAAAGAGCACTCTCAGCATAGCTCAAACGGAAAGAACTAAAGAAAGAACATCCGAGGCTCCGGTTGCATTGAGATTCTGTGGGTTAAAATATTGACTGATGCCGGAAACATCAAGGAGGATGGAAGGAATATACAAGATTCGCTGTACCAAAAAGAACTCTTCTTCCACCATTCCAGGAAGTGGCATGTAATCCAGAACGTGGTATTGAGAGAAGAAACCCAAGTTGCACTGAAGACGTTAGTGGAAAACAAGGCCCCAGAAATTGATGGGGCACCAATTGAAATATGTTCCTCCCCCTCATCCACTAGGCTGCCACCTCATGCCCCTCACCCCTCGAGTTCTCAAACTTACCAAGTTTATTCAAAGGCCTCAGGGCCTTGGCACTACTGCCCTCTCTGCCTCGAACATCTTTCTCTCCTTAATCTGACTGTGGCTCGTTTTCAACCAGTTCAGAATCACTACCGGAGGGCCAGGTGGATCCATTAAAAAGAAGTAAACTAAACACCCCAGCTACACTGAAGTCTTGAGAATCCGTGAGCTAAACTTTTTTTCCCTCTCATATGACTGAAAACAAGTTACTTATCTTTTAATGAACCTGAAGAAAAAAAT